ATCCCTTCATCCACCCCCATAAGCAGCCGTCCTGTCCCTTTCTCATCTGATCTTTAATTCGTTGCTGTAGCGCTTTAACTTTTAAGCTCTCCCATCATCCGTTCAGCTGAGTTTGGAAGAGAACAGATGTTTCAGTGCTACTTTATTTTTCTTGGTTGTACAGGAAGGGGAGAGAACTATTGTGCTAATAATTTAAGAGGCGGTTTAACTCTGACCTCCTATTTAAATGTTTCCTACCCTGGGGAAGGGTGGGGTTCTCTGTACTTTGAATGTGGGGAATGAGTGACAACTTATGCAGCGCTTGAAGTAAACCATAATTTCTGTTTCTCCCCCATTCAAAAAGTGTGTATTTTGGGTATATGTTTTGTAGTACTGGGTGCACATAGTTTGTTAGTGTGCTCAGGAGTGCACGTCCCAGATTTTCTGGAACTAGTGTAGCACTGTCAGAACAGCATTCTGAGGCATGTGACACTTAAGAGTTGTGGGGCCTTCTTGTCTATGAGGATGTTACGGGGAGTGAGTGAGTGAGTGAGTGAAGATACAACAAGGGCTTAGAGCAGAGCCCAGCGTGCCATGAGCACTGTTATGCCCGGCGAGTCAACACTATGGTAGGCATGTTATTTCTTAAGGATTCTCATTACCTAATTGCTCCTTAGGGGTAAGCACTGCTCACTTGTAGAACCAGGAGTTTTCTGTGGGGGGTGCAAGTCAGACAAAGGAGATGAGGGCAGAGAAAAGAGAAGGTTAGCAGTCAGGATCACACAGTCTCACTTGCTTTCCTAGGTGAGGCCAGACAGTGCCGTTAAGTTCCCAGTGGGAAAAAGAGAAACACAGTTGCACAGGTTACATCTGCAAGGTGGGCATGCATCCTGTTGCCACCCGCCTGGAGAATCAAACCACAGTTGCCAGTTCTGAAAAGGAGGAGGAGCCAGGTTGGCTCCCAGAGCTTTCGTATTTCAGATGTTGTTCTAAGGGTGCATTCACCCTGTTGTGTGCACCCTCCCTGCACCTGTCTCTCCTCTGTAGCTCCAGGAGGGTTCCGTGAGCAGCCTAAGCTTGGCCACTCGGCTCAGCGTGGATTTGCATCATAACCTGTCTTGCTTTCTTAGTGCTCTCTTAAACCCACAGTGTGACTTAGGTCCCAGAGAGCGACTGGGCTCTGCCTGCACCCTGGTCTTTCTGATTCAATTTTAAGTGTACCTCCAACATAGACGCTGCAGTGAGGCAAAGAGTACTATATTGTTTGGTGACTGAGCAGGTCACAGTTGTTAATAAGGTGACCTCATGATAGCAAACCTCCCGTAGCCACAGCCTTTTGTGCAGTCCCTTCTAAATGTACGGAGCCTGGGAGAGCCAGGGAGGCCTTGCAGATGCTTTGGTTGCACAGAGAAGGGAGCTGGTGTTGGGTGTGCCACCAGCCCTCTCCCAAAGCTGTCTCCAGCTCTGTAAAGCAGGGTGGGCTCCTGGTCTGGCCTCCTCTTCCCACTTGTCATGAGGATCCTCTCTGTGTGTACGCCTTGGTATCTCAGGAAGGTGTTTTGGAAGGTATGTGTGAATGCGCAGGTGGCTAAGTGTGCAGTCGCTACAGAATAAGACAACTGTCCCTAAGGTTACAGCAGCTTTTCAAAGTCTACGTCACGTCTGTAGCGAGGAACACCAGGATCCGTTTACCCCACATTATGGGCACAGTCTGACCAGTCTGACCATGGCTTGATGGAACATGGGCCCTTGTGCCTTACGTGGACAGTGGAAGAGTGGTTAAGGCAAGATGGATGATGAAGACAGGCGTTTGTCAACAAAGGCTGCATCTCTGCCAGCTGCAGGACTGAAGTGATCGAATTGTGAGTGCTTGGATGATGTCTGAGTATCCATTCTTTGGGAGACGTCAAATAAGATTTAGAAATACTTAAAATTTTTTGTTTTTATTTTAAATTTGTATGTATCCGTGTCTCTCTCTGGGTGTATATCATACATGTGCCTGTGTCCACAGAGGCCAGGAGGCATCAGGTCCTATGAAGGTGGAATTAACAGGCAGTTGTGAGCTGCCTGATATGGCGCAGGTCCTCTTCAAGAGCAGCAAATGCTCTTAACTGCTGAGCCATCTCTCCAGAACATACTGGAGAGATTCTCTCTCTGTGTGTGTGTCTCTCTCAAAGTCTTCATATTTAAGATGTTGCCCTAGGTGTGTGTGTGTGTGCGTGCGCGCGCGCATATGTGTATGTGTGTATATGTACACACATTCTCCAAAGTGCCTGCCTATGCTAATAACCTGAAAAGGCTGTTATTGGCTGGGATCATTTGCAATGGCCTGTTGTTTATTATGAGAAGCAGCTTCCCCTCTCCGGGAGCCTGGAGCTGTCCTAGGAGGTGTGCTTTTTGTGTTCAAGGGCAATGGAGTCACTGGCCTCTCCCTGCCCGCTGGTTTCCTTCAGTGGCTTAGTCACAGCCGAGTTGAGCCAAGAGTCCACTACCCGGCCTTTGTGTACTCGGGCGATCCTGCTGGGCTTCAAGTGCCTCTGGCCTCGCACTCTCAATGCCCTGCTGAGTGGCCAGTGGACCGCCCCTGAGTCACAAGCTTCCTAGTAGCGGTGCGGGCACTGCCACTGTCTCCTCGTTGGAGTCTCCTGCTAATGAATACTGACCTTTTCTAGCCTCTCTTTCAAGTGACTAGCTCAGGGCTAAGGGTGTAGCTCGGCAGTAAAGATGTGCAAGGTCCTGGATGTGACACCCAGTACCACAAAATAAAAGGCCACAGAAATGCCTTCTTCATTGGAGAATTCTTTTTCCTATGGCTCAGGGCCACCGTCTCTCATCCACTTTTCTTTCTCTCACTGCCGGTACTTGAAGGTTTCCATCCATCACATCCTGACCCTCCCTGTGAGAATTGAACCTTTAGCCTGGCCTGTCCTCTAGGAGTCCTGGCCAGGCTCTTCTTGATGTTCCCAGCTGCTTCTTGGGACCTCAGGCTGTAGGTCTGCTGTGCTGTCACTTTAAGACAAAGTGGGGTGCTTTAGGTCCCAGGTCCTCCTGGTTGGGGTCTGAGGAAGGACTGTGGTATTTATTGTAAGAGCTCATGATTCTGAATGAGAACAAATGTAGAAAAACATCTATTACCCTGAGATGCTCTGGTTTTAAAGGACAGATACCACCAATAAAATAGCCAAGACAGGAAACTTAAACACATCACCCACTCTCAGTCTGGACCCCCCCCTCCCATCTCTATCCTTTAGATGTTGGGGCAGCCTTGAGAATGTAACTTATGACAAGCTGTCTCAGGAAAAGCACCCAGAATTCCAAAGACTGGACTTAAAACAGTTTGTTTTATTTTTTTTTATACTTTTAACTTACTAACAGAGTTACTATTAATAATGAATTCCCATCAATAAACAATAAACTCATTAATAAGTGAAACCATTCCTGTAAGGCATTAGCAGTGTCTGGCATGTATCAGATCTCTAGAATGTCAGCTGCTGCTGTTAATACTCCTACAGCATTTCCACAGTGGGCAGTGTCACCATGCCTGTCATGCTCGCATGTAAACTGTCCATTTCAAAACACAGCGAAGGCTGGCTTGGTTCCAGAGAGGTGGCTCACTTTGGTTAGGTGTGAGGCCGATGGTCCTGAACAGGTAACAGTAAGGTCAGTGGGGTACAGTGTCTGACCAAAAGTGGAATTGAAATATTAGTTGCTTGTTTGTTCGTTCGTTCATTCATTCATTCATTCATTCATTCATTCATTCAACAAATACTTACTAAGCCCCAGATACTGTACTATCCAGAAATGAGGAAGGTCAGCTTGAGGTAGGTACACTACAAAGCTTCCCACTGCAGGAAGGACTTATAAATAGGGAGAAAGTAGAGAGCAGTATATCTAGGCTGCAGCAGCAAGAGCAGTGGTTGAATTGTGGCAAGGAGTCCTGCAGCCACAGTTGCTGATACCGTGTGCTCTCCATAGTGTGGCTAAAGCCGCTCCCCCCAGGCAAGCTGGGTCTGAGTGCACTCTGGCAGGCACTCTCCCATTTGCCAGGCTCGCGCTCAGAGGCCTGGGCTGCTGGGATCCAAGCAGCGCATTAGTGGGCATGGCTCCTGTCCTCAAGGACACGAGCCAGCCTTAGGTCAACGGTTGGGGCAGCAGGAGTGGTGGGTGACCTGTGGTTGCAGGGGCTTGTGTACTGCTCAGGTGATCTGAAAATTAGGAGTGTCTGCCTGTAGCAGCTATGTAGGGTGAGTACTGGGCTTCGCTTTCCCATATTCCTCTGTGCTTTGGCCAGGATGTTTTTAGGTTGATTTTTTTTTTTTTTTCTCTTCTCTCTACTGCGCCTCACCAAACCTCCTCCCCCAGTGCTGGCTTATTTTCGTAGAAGTTAAACTTTAATTCTAAAGCCAGAGCAGACCTCCCCATACTGGTTCTTTCTCTGCACTGGTCATGCTGGGTTTTCCCTCCCATGGTGTGAAAATTCCGAACAAGGCAAGTTGATCTCTCTGGCCCATGCTGGACAGACTTATGGTTGTTTGTTTTTGGACTTTACATTGCATCTTTGTTTCCATATCCTGCATCTTTTCTTCAGTAGCTGTTATGTCCCCTATGTCTCTCCCTCAGCAAGTGTTTGTTTGGATAGGACATTTAAAGGTTCCGAGGAATTTAACGAGATGGGGCAATTCATCTCGGTTAAAGGGAAGATTCATTATCTCCAAATTATATAGATTCACTGTTAAAGCTTAGATATTTTGACAGCTTTTTCATTATCGTCCTATCAGGTTTTTTTTTTTTTCCTCCCCTTTCCTGTAGAGTGATTTAGCAGTTTATTTCCCCTGATAAGCAGCATTCTTTTACCAAAATACATTGTATGAAGCATACTCTGATAAAAATCTGTGTAGATCAGAAAACTTTCCACTGGTCCTGGGGAGGGGGTGTGCATATGTGTCTTAACTCTCGGCAGCTCCACGCTGTGCCCGGCCTCCTTCAAAGTATTTTCAAAGTATTTTGATCTCTCATTTCAGCCACAATTACAAGTTCATCGGAAAATGATGACCGGAGTGGCTCCAGTTTGGAATGGAGTAAAGATGGAAGCCTGAGGGTAGGGGTTCAGAAGGGAGTGCTTCATGACCGAAGGGCAGATAACTGCTCCCCAGTGGCAGAAGAAGAGCCCACCGGGCCAGCGGAGAGCGTGCTGCCCAAGGCAGAGTCCTCAGCTGGAGATGGTCCCGTCCCCTATTCTCAGAGCTCCAGCTCGCTAATAATGCCACGGCCCAACTCCGTCGCAGGTAAGGCCGCGCCTCTCCCCAAGCCTCAGGGTCCCAGGTTCCCTTTCTTTACCCAGCAAATTCATCCAGATGCAATCCAGCGGTGTGATCATTTCCGCAGGCCTCAGTTTACCCATGGTAAACACACGAGGTCTTTGAGTGGTCCTTTTGCTCCAAATGTCGTTAAGTCTGTCCTCTGTAATGCTGGCTCTTTGTAGGTGAGGGGAAACACTCAGTAGCTCTGACCTTGGTGTTTCTTTTAAGTGTGTGTGAGAATTACGACTTACTGTATCTTGACACACAGGCATTGTTTAGTTGATACCAGCTCAGAGGGTTTCTAATTCAGCTTTCAGCCTTTGTTTTGTGTGGTTGGGGGCCATCGTAGCTGGGAGGTCAAGTGCTTCTGGAAAAGTCAGCTGTAATGCAGCTCCCAGCTGAGTGCACATGCAACACCTAGACACAGAGCCGTGCACACACATGGAAGCACGGGTTGATAGTTGGGCGGGTAGTGGCCCATCTTCAAACAAGGACTATGGAAGGCGGAGGGAGGGGTCCCGCCCTGTGTGTTTTGAAGGTCTGCATTCAGAGGAGGTCCTTCTTCAGGTAATTCTTTGTTAGCAGCATGGTGCTTACAGATGGCCCCCTGCACTACTATGCACTCTTTGCACATCAAAGGCTCTTTCTGTAATTTATGCTGCTCCTTCAGTCGGTGCTAGGTCACTCCGGCTGTTTGTTGGGTGTTTCTTTCTTTCTTTCTTTTTTTTTTTTTTTATGATGGAACTCTGAAGCAGTTGGTAAATAAATGGCCTTAATGGAAAAGTTGTGAGGTACAACTCTAATTCACTTTCAAAGGAAGCAAAGTGGCCTTGTTCTAGAAGAGGGATTTGGCCTGTGTGCCAGGGAGAAATACTAGAGAGCATTATGCACAGTGATTGATGATTCTTCCAAAAGCTCCCCTGTTGTCCCATCCTCCCAACCCCCACCCCTCCTACTGCCCACCCCTGGAGCATACTGTGTGGTACTCAAGATGTTTTAGGCCGTAGTTACCTAGGCACAATGAAGGGGTCACTTGTAGGGTAATCAGTCTTTTTTAAAATTAGGAAACTCATTAATACAGTAATTTCAGCGCTATTAACGGTGCTCAGTTGGGGGTGACTTGCCCGGCCAGAAGCTCTTTGTGTGTCTCTGGCTCTGTGAGGTGACCGAGGGTGTGAACTGAAGTTTTCAGGGACTGCCTGGATTAAGGAGCAAAGCTGCCTGGGTTCTGCTGTGCTCACCTGCTTTCTGCTGTGTGTGCCCTTGAGCTTGACCCTCTCAGGGAGGGCTGGATTTCATGGCTGGGTTTGAGCAGGTCCGTTTCCCTCTTGCGCTGCAAGCCGAAGGTACAGTCAGAAGACACGTAGGCAGCTGTTCTTAGCTTGTGTTTCTGTCACCAAGTGCGCACCACGAGTGGAGTCTGGTAGAGTTGTCACTGGCCACCTCGCTGCCACCAAAGCTGAGCATCCGCCGAGGGGGTGGCAGCGTGTTTCATGGTTGTGGAAAAGAATAATGCTCAGTTGTGTAAACCGTACCCAGCAGATGCAAGGCAGGCTGCAGACAGGGACACTCAATCAGATGTGGTGGGCCTTGTAGTAAAATCTTGTATGTGTGTGTTACCATCCATGAAAAAACGCAAAGTGCCACTTGGTGGGAAAGCTGGCTCATGGGTTAAAGAGTGGCGTCTGATGCCAGGCCTCTGACAGCTGTCCACATGGGGCCTGGACCTGTGGTGAAGGGACTGAGGTGGTTCCTAAGATCTCCAGCCTCCTGAGGACAAGTGTAGAGAACAATGACTCAAAATAAATTGGCTAGGATTAGAGACTATAAAAGTATTTCTTAGAGTTGAATTACTTTAAAGTGCAGGCCATCATATCAAGAGGAACGATATGTACATTTTCTTTTCCTTCACTAAAAAGCAAGACTCAAGGCTTTTAAAATTGTATCTTGGCTAGTCTAGAAGTTGGCTAATAAGAACAAAACTCCCAACCAATAAGACTCAGGAGCCAGAGGCCAGCTCAGAGAGGCAGAGAAAGTAACCAGCTGACCTTCCTTCTTATCTCAGGTCTGGATGGAAAAAACCCAAAAGGCTCACCAGCTCAGCTGATAGCCCAGGAGTAAATGGTTGGGAAAAAAAAAAAAAAAAGCCAAGGCCAAAGGCTTGCTAGCTCAAAGCCCAAAAAGCCAGGGAGCTGAGGGACTGAAGCTTAAGCTAAAGCCAGAGCTTGAGCTAATCACCCTTTCTTCTCCAAGCTGTTTTAAATACCCCTCAACTCAAAATCCCTACTATTCTTTAATCCCTGTCAGCTGGTTTCTTGCTCCACCTCTTGACCTAGGGTTAACTTTATTAAATCCTGTGTACAGAAAGCTCTTGGATTAAAGATGTGTGCTAGGGCTGGGTGAACCACATCATAATCACCTATTTACAATAAATAGAAAGTTCTTGGATTAAAGGTGTGTGATAGGGCTCAACCACACCATAGAAACAGGATATTACAGTTCACAATTTTGGATTTCACAATGAGATCAATTTTTCTGCAACAGTTCTATATTGAAAAAGACATTTTTTATGTATATTGGTGTTTTGCCTGTATATGTGTGTGTGTATGTGCGCGCGCATTGAGGCCATAAAGGGTCATGGGATTCCTTGGAACCAGAGTTACAAACAGTTGTGAGCCACCATGTGGGTGTTGGGAATTGAACCTGTATCTGTGGAAGAACAGCCACTGTTCTCTTGACCACTGAGACATTTCTCCAGCTTATAGGATTTTCTGTTTTTGACCACTTGTCTAATCTTCTGAAATTCTTTGAGTGGGACCAGAGACTGTTGTGCCAGGATCATGAGACTCTCAGAGACCACCAGGAGATGGCTCAGGCTAACTTAAAACTCTTCAAGACCACTGTGTGTAATTCTCCAGGACACCAACAAATACAGTTACTGAGTTTCAGTTTTCTTAACCGACGGTTGCCCAGGACTTACTGGCATTTGCCTTTGCTAGGTTAGTCCATGGCTTAAGGCATCAGCACACATTGCTCTTTATTTAGCTTAGGAGAAAACTCTTCCCAAAACAGCGTGTTGAAAAGAGCCCCTCACTCAGATGGAAAGCTCAGTGTGTGCATGACTGGGTTCATACATTCCTAAGTGCATGGCTTAGTCCCGGAGACCGTAGCCATGGGTTTTCTACGGTAAGGAATTGTTTAATTTCTCATTTTTCTTGGCGCAGCATTTGAGATGTTTATTGTGTAGCCTAATGTGAGCCTGGCTTTTCTTGGAGGGGCGGGCCTGAGCTGAACGCCAAGCACTGAGGCCTCGCCGCTCATCTCAGGTGTCTTGGGGGCTTCAGAAATGCCCGAAGAAGCAGAGGTCGCCGTAGCCGGGGCTTACCGCCATGCTGAAGCTTTTGGCTCAGCGTAACCATGGGTGTTTGTTTATCGTTTGAAAAAGAGCCTCACCTTGTAGCCCCAGTCAATGGAACAGTATTACACGGTCCCTTGCCTCAGCTGCTCGCGAGCTGGGGTTTACGCATGTGCCCCGTGCCAGCACGCGGCTGTGGTGGGAAGAGCGAGCCATGGAAGGTGGCGCTGCTCAGTCAGGCTGCCCGGCTCTAGACTCTGAGTGCTGACACTGGTGGCCGGAAATCTGAAAACAGAGACACTTGAAATCTCCCCATCTCCTGTACCCACGTCACGCCAGGGCTCCCCTTTCCACCGCCAGTTCTTTGATTTCAGTGTCTTTTATAGTCATTTTTTTTAAAAAGTCTTTTCGGTTGTCACAGAATTACAAAGTGAATGTCAGGCTCTGAGGGATCAGGGAAAGGGGCAACAGAAGCCTTTTGAAACTCAATGTGTCTTTGTGTTACTCGGACCAAAGCCCTGGCTCTCAAGTGACTTATGTCCTATGGCTGTGATGGCGTCTTCTGCTTGAGCCACAGTGGTTGCATTCACCACAAGTCCAGGAAAGGAGCCAGAATCCCATGCCTCAGGCGTGAGCCTAGGATTGGTTGGCTTTCAAGTTGTGCTTCTGTAGGGAGCCTGGAGGGGAAAGGTGGTCTTGTAGCTGCTGCAGGAAGTTTCCCTCTGTGTAAAGTTTGTAGAGAGGCTTGAAGTTATCACTGGATCAACCTGCCAAAAGCCTCTGAAATTCCTGCCTGAGGAAATCTCTCCCATTCGTCTCCTGTTTATTTTCTTGAGACTGGGCCTTTGTAGCCCAGGCTAACCTCAAATTGTTTGCATATCCTATCCTTGCTTGAACTCCCCATCCTCCTGTCTCCATCACCCTAGGGTTAGGGTTACAGGCATGCCCCACCTGTCAGCTTAGCTGCATCTTTCTAATGTGGGAGATGTACATAATCTCCAACCGGGAGCAGAACATTTACATAAATCTGCACAGTATGTACTTAGGCAGTGGGCATGCACCTTTAAGATGCAGAAATAGTTGCTTGCTGTCTGGGAGGGGCAGCTGGCAGAACACTTGCTTGACTGGTTCTTGGAGGAGAGGCTGGGGGTACTAGACATCTCTGAGTCAGGCCTGCGGCTCTCCTCAGTCTTTGGTGTTTGTTGAATGAAAGAATGAAGAATGATGTGGACATAAGAGAAGAACAGGAAGGTGAAGGGAGCTATGAAAGGCTCAGGATAGAAGATGCTCCAAGTAGCTAGACGCTGGTGACAGCCTGTGAGGGAGCAGAGCGTTTTCAGAGTACTGAGTGTCCAGTTTGACTCCTGACCTACTAAGGACTTCAGAAGACTCAGCCCTTGGCATGTAACTTCTCCTGGAATTGCTACTTGGGCAGACCCATGAATGCCCCTTAATGTTTTTTAACAGGTACCTATATGCCGTGAACCTTACTATCTTGGACTGAAATAAACATCATGATAATACATTAAAATATCTAATATATACTTACATATTTTATTTTTTAATTTTTGTTTTGTTTTGAGATAAGGTCTCAATATGTAGCCTTGCCTAGTCTGAAACTCCCTGTGTGTACCAGCCTGGTCTGAAACTCGTAGTGATCCGCCTCTGTCTCCATGCTGGGATTAAAGATACACACCATCATGCCTGGCTTCATATACATATATATTTTATATCCACACATACATATGTATTTGAAGATTAAGAAACTGTACGTTTACTGCCAAGAGCTAGCTTTTTCTATTCCCAGTGCTGTGGATTTGTACCAGCAGAATCTGCTTGCTTAATTAGGAAGGTTGGAGGCACAGAGCTTCTTAGGCTGTATGTTAGCCGTAAGTTCTGACGTGTGCTGTGTAACACTGCTCGTCAGGGCTTTTTGTTTTTGTTTCTTTTCTTTATCATTAAAAAAAAAAAAAAATATGGTGAAGTTGGTTTCTTTCAAGGAATGATGGTGAATTCTGGCAACCAGATCAACATGCCATTAAGAATGAGTGGTGCTTAATTGTTTCCATTTTTCAAGTTAACAGTACTGCTGGAAACATAAGCTGGCGCAAATAATTATCCTGAGGTAAATTTTGTCGAATGTGGCGCTGAGCTGCTTAGTAATTCAACAATTTGTAACTTAGCAGTTTAGGTGTGGCCTTAAACTCAGTTTTACTTTCATATTGCAGCGACAAGTTCTACCAAATTGGAAGACCTGAGTTATTTGGATGGACAGAGAAATGCTCCTCTCCGCACGTCAATCAGGTTGCCCTGGCACAGTACGGCTGGAGGTAGGGCACAGGAAGTTAAAGGTATTTATCCTCACATCCATGTCACAATGGTGACAGAATGTTGGAAGTCTAATAACTAGGATCCGAACTGTATTGGAAGTGTGATGTGACTTGTGTTTGTACTGTTTTGTTTTTTTTTTTTTTTTTTTTTTTTTAAAGCATATTAAAGGTCTGCTGGGGTCCAGCTTTAAGAACTTGGGGCTTCTCGCTTAAAGCACGTGACTAAATTACTTCCGGAATGGAAGACTAATTCCATGATAAGGTGGTTGCCACTCCTGAAGCCTCAGCTTTGTTTCAGTCCCGTAGACCGTGTCAGCCACATCCTGCGCCTGTCTAACGCACAGCTGTATGGTCAGGGGCCCTACCTAGCTCCTGTGGGCAGAACACCCTCTCACTCAGATGAGGATGGTGCCCTGGAATCTGGGAAGTTGTGTTTACAGGGGTGGAAGACACCATTGGGGCTTCTGCTCTGCTTTCCTGTATGTTTGAAAATGCCTTGCAAGTGGGAAAGGACCAGCAAATTGTTTTAACAGGATACTTTGGGTAACAACAAAAACAATGAATGAAATATCATAGATAAATGTATAAAGTTAGACGTCTTATTTCTTTTTATCCTAATTTGCACTGCTTTCCCGTAACGTGCCTGTTTTTGTTTGTTTGCCTTAAAGCGCGGTTTGCTCCCTACAAGCCCCAGGACATTCTGCTGAAACCCTTGCTGTTTGAAGTGCCCAGCATCACAACGGACTCTGTGTTTGTGGGCAGAGACTGGCTCTTCCACCAGATAGAGGAAAACCTGAGGAACACGGAACTGGCAGAGAACAGGGGAGCAGTGGTTGTGGGGAACGTTGGATTTGGGAAGACAGCCATCATTTCCAAGCTGGTGGCACTGAGCTGCCATGGAAGCCGCATGAGACAGATCGCATCCAGCAGCCCCAGTTCATCCCCTAAAAGTATGTCCATGGTTGCTACTCATCTGGCTTATGATGCTAGTGTAAGGTGGAGGGAGGGAACTGCTTTTTGAATAGGCAGGGCTTACCAGTTTTCCCTAAGTTATTCTAGCTACTCTATCAGGTCTAAGTTCATAGGTTAAGTGACCTGTCTGCATATTTCCAGCCATCAGAGTTTTGTTTTGCTTGTTTTCTTTTGGTGCTTTTTTTTTTTTTTTAAGTGGGGAGGGAGAGAGAGGGTCTCCCATTGTTATAGGTGTGTTAACTACAGTCAGGGCTGTTGCCAGTCTTCGGGTGTCCTGACCTGGAGCCCCTGTCTCCCTCTTTCACAAAGGGGTTTGTATGCATGGCATACATTACTACAGAGGGTTTTGAGCAAGTGACCTGGAGAGGTTTGGGTCTCAAAACCAAGTGCTTGGGCTGGTGGAAAAACAAGGCAGATAGCATCTGATGCCTTTGTGTGTGTGTGTGTGTTTGTATTTGTGTGTGTGTAGTTATTTTATCTCCTTTTATCTTATGTAGAATTCTTTTGTATCCAGTTCACTACAGGCTTTCCTTCTGTGCTGGCTTTACGTAAAAAATATAAAGGCTTAAATGGGAGAGAGAATAGCTAAACATCTCTCACTGTATGCATGCAGGAGTATATGAACAAATGACTCTCTGTATCCCAGGCTACCTTTGAACTTGAGATCCTCTTGCCTCGGTCCCTGCCCCAAGAGCTGAGATATGGGCGCCACCAGGCATGGCTTCCCTGACTATTTCATGTGAAATCTATCACAAAGGAAATATCTTGAAATAGGAACAAGAAAAAAATAGAGTCACTTGAGACTTTCGGGTTTTTTTGTTTTTTTTTTTTTTTTTTTTTTTTTCGGTTTTGGTTTTCCAGGCAGGGTTTCATTGCCCTGGCTATTCTAGAACTTGCTCTGTAGAGCAGTTTGGCCTCCAACTCAAGAGATTTGCCTGTTACTGCCTCCTGATGCTGGAATTAAAGACGTGTACCATACCAGACTGCCTGGCAGTTTTGGTGTTTGTTAGTTTGTTTTAAACCAGAAGAAATGTGACCTAGAGAGGCAGCTCTCCAGGGTAGGAGATGGGCTGGGAGTTGGTGTGCCCATTTGAGACCTCTCCCTGGGAGTTTGCTCTTCATTGTTCAAGACTGTCTGGGGTGAATTCAGAGATGTGTTCTACCTTCATTATACTACATGGTGATGTTACAATCCTGTGTCTCTCTCCAGCATCAGATCCTGCCCAGGACCTTGCTTTCACTCCGTTACTTTCACCAAATTCTTCCACAAGTGTGCCCAGTGTGGTCAAAACGCCTGCTGGGCCCGGTGCTGCTGAAAACCAGAGGCCGCGAGAGGACTCGGTGAAATACCTCGCCTCAAAGGTAACCTGCTTTCTCTTTACAGGTAGAGATTTGCCTGTCTGGCATTGAAAAATGAGTTTGAAAAGGGATCTTAAAACAGAAGCAACTGCTTGGTGCTGAAGTGCAGTGTAGCTGTTGATAAAGTATGACTGAGTCCTCCAATTAAAAAAAAAGGCTTTAGTGAAAATTAATCCTGAAGATTCAAGTTCGTCTGAACCAAGTTCAGAGAGCTCCTCCAGGCAGCAGGAGGAATGATGTGTGTTCACCGCATGTCTACCAGGCACATGCCCGGTCATTTGCCGTGTGAGCGGCAGGTGAGCGGAAGCTTTCAGCTTGGTCCAGACCGCCTTGGCCTGCATTGCACCCTGTTGCCTGGGGCCATGGTTCTCTGCATCCCCTGTCAGTTCTTTCTTGGGAGGTTGTGAAAGAACCTTGGCTGCCTTTCTGTCTCTAAACGCATGGTGATCAAGGGCTCCTTCTGCCCCGTGGCCAACACTGGCTTGTGGGCCACCTTCCTGCATGAAAGCAGGAGCATTTCTTGCCTTGCTGAGCTGCTTGGGTCTCCATAAGCAGTGGCAGAGGGATCCGATGATGCTGGAGAACCAGCAGAGGCGGCAGTGATGAGGCGTACCTCCTCGTGTGGACACACAGTGAGGTGGTCCGGACGAACTGAAAGGAACACCACTCAGCCCAGCCCACTCCCACCATCACCTGAAGGCAGCTGCTTGTGGTACAGTGAGCCCCCGTCTGACCAACGATTCAGAGCAGCCTCTGTCCTTGAAGGGGTGATCTGAGACAAATGACGTCCATCTCAAAGCCACCCTTAGTGTGATGGTTTTTCAAGCATTCTAATTGCGACCCACAGTAAAGAGACTATCTTAACCACGTATGCGCATACAAAATCATGGAGCCTGGAGGCAAAGGGGGTTGCTGGGGTGTGTTTATCTGCATTTCCTGTAGAGTGCCCTGCGGTTTAAATTAACTTTACTCAAATTTTAAAAACTACCTGTGGTGCCAGAAGGATTTTGTGGTTACCAGGATGCTTTTGTTAGATATTGTGCAAGACTGTGATACTGGATATCTTGTAATGGTTTGCACGGGTGTGGGAGGCCCTCACGTAGGTGCCTGCTGATCTCTGCCTGTGTAGGAGTTGAGGGGCGGTTAGCACTTCGCTACGGGCGAATGATAGATGTAATCTAAACTAGAAGTCGGCTTTCTGTGCTGCCCTAAGAAAAGCTGTGCCGTATATACTCGCACCTCTTACCAAGAGTCTACCATCATCCCAGGATCTCGTGCAAGATCTTGAACTGTGTTGGCACCGTGACAGTATGGTTTATTCTGCGTCCATGGCCTCTGTGATGCCCCGAAGCCAGTGGTCTGTGGCCTGTTACTGCAGAAGCTGCAGAGCCGAGTAGGAAGGTGGAGGCTCAGGCTGCTTTGGAAAGCACATCGCTGCACACGAGCGTGCCGTCTGCAGTTGACACTCGCACGCTTGCTTCCATCCTCATTTGTAGAGTGGTGGGGTTTTCGTTTCTGTAGAGCATCCCTCTTGCTCCCGAGAGCTCCGTCACTGGCACTCTGTTTGGGCAGAGGTTGGCGAGGCATCCAGCAACCTACTACCGCCGCCGAGCTCCCCCTGCCTTGCAGGGTGTAGGCAGCTCTTCACCTTATCCCTTGCCCCCCTTCAGTAGACAGGGAGCTTTCCCTTTCGAATGCCTCCATGGCATCCCTCGAAGAAGAGGTGTGGATGAGGGGAGAAGGCGAGAGCTGCTCCTGCCAGAGGAAGCGGCAGCTGTGACTTTACAGCGTGGGCTCATAGCCGCCAACTTGATCCTGTGCTGTTTGGAGGAGCGGAGGGTTCCCTGGGGGTGCCGCTGATCTTGAGGACAGAGCGCGATGCAGATGAACAGTGTTGGGCTCGCTTGGAAGTGCCCTAAGCCAGGCCAGGCGATAGGTTTTGTAAATGACTTTTACTATTCTACGTTCAATACAGGGTACAGTTGTGCTGAGTTTTGTGTTAATCAAGATGGATTTGTGGCTGCAATTAATAGTTTGCTGAGGGCTTAGCAAACCACACCGGTGAAGAACAGAGTAAATATAGCAATTAAGCTAGCCAGTGACTCCGGCTTAGGGAATAGACACTCAGGCTCTCCTCTCAGGAAGAGTTGGTTCGTTCCTGTCTGAGGTCAGGGAAGGCGCTGCGGAGACAGTGGGACAATGCTGATTTCTCTGCTTCTCCGTAGGTGGTGGCCTACCATTACTGCCAGGCGGACAACACGTACACGTGCCTGGTGCCCGAGTTTGTGCACAGCACTGCAGCTCTGCTGTGCCGCTCTCACCAGCTGGTTGCCTACAGAGACCTTCTGATCAAGGAGCCCCAGCTGCAGAGCATGCTGAGCCTCCGCTCCTGTGTGCAGGACCCCGTGGCCGCCTTCAAGAGGGGCGTGCTGGAGCCGCTGACGAGCCTAAGAAATGGTACCCACCAGAGGCCTCGGGGCCGCTTCCCAGTACAGGCTGACGCCCACGTTGGCCCTCAGAAGGGTGGCCAGCTTGGTCCTGGGGTGGCAGGGAAAGGATGTTGGTGACCCGGTCCACATCTGGTGCCACCACATCCATCCTTCGTGGTGTTGTTTCCAATGAACTGTCTCGGATGTGGATGAACAACTGAGCAGTTCCAAGGAAGCCTTGTAACTGTAGGAGAGAGACATACTGCCCTGTAAAGGTTTGATACTTGGTCTACGAAATGAACCAGGAGTAGGCACAGCAGAACAGACCCAGAGAGCTTATTAATACCTGCAGTGCGTGGAAATGGCTGGTAACTGAGAGCAGAGCCTTAAAACCCCACCTTCAGCAAAGAGCAGCAGCTTCCACGAGTGGTAAGATGTCAGAAACAAAACAGGAAACCACTTAGGCTTTCAGAGGCAGGAAACTGGGAAGATAAACACACGGAAGATTAATACTAGTTTCACGTAGTTAGTAAGCTTTGATACCCAGACCTTTGCGCCTCTCCAGCGGCTAGACCCTGCCCTCTGCTTCCCTTTTCCTAGTAGACAGTCTTGTTCTGTCTGTAAGCTAAAAGGCTGGGTAGGGGCTACCTGAACTTGTTCCTTTGTTGTTTTTACCCCTCCACACTTCAAGGAGGCACACTCGGGTCTCTCACAGAACTGAAATCTATATAGGTAAGGTACACACTGAAGAGTGTTCCACTCCCTGGCAGCAAGGGGATCTTCCAGCGTGTTCTCCCCTCCCCCAGCCCCTGCTCAGATGAGTTGAAATCTAAATCTAATACCATTTCTAGGAGTTCCCATTTCGTTTTTCCCTTTTTTCCCCCTTGCCCCTTCCCAGATAGGAGTGTCAATGACGTGATTGGTCCTTAAGGTTTCCACCTTCTTCACCTAGCTCCTTTTTGAGTTACCCATCTACAAAGTGTCAACGGACAGAAGACGCTGGAAAGAGGGCCTCAAATGGCTGTGCCACGCTTGCTCTGTGCTCTGAGTAGAAAGCTGTCCCTAGTAAAACAGAGAACTAGGCTTAGGCTGTGTGAAGGACTCCACTCTGGGTGTGCATAAGCCAGTATTTTCACCACTGAGTGGCTGGGTCACACATCCTTGGTGGCGGTGTGGGGAGGGCTGGCCCCTCCACCCGGGAGTCAGGCCACTGAAGAAGTTCCAGCGAAGAGCCTGGTGTCTGTTTTAGTGTTAGGCTCTATGTGTGTCAGTTATTTAGCTGCAGGCTACTCAGGTGCCTGTGGTCTATGGACTATCTGTAATACATATATATGATTGAGATTTGCTAATATCTGTAATGCGGTATGTTTCTGAAAACTTTTGTAAGAATTGGTTTTCTTTTGGCTCAGTGCACTGTTGGTTTTTTTTTTTTTTTCATTATAAATTTAATAGGAAATATGCTTCTTTGAAAACATGTCTTCTGCCATATGTAAACCTTCTTAAGCTTTGCTAACACTTTCAACTGTATGTTAAAATGCATTGGGTGGTGCGTGTTATAGAAATGCATAATTTCTTAATTTGGAAAAATTATTTCATCTTTTAGAGCAGAAAATTCCAGAAGAGGAATATATCATTTTGATAGATGGCTTGAATGAAGCTGAATTTCATAAGCCTGATTATGGAGATACGCTGTCTTCATTTATTACCAAAATCATTCCTAAATTCCCCACCTGGCTGAAGCTGATCGTGACTGTAAGAGCGAATTTTCAGGTAACAAAAGATCCTCCCCCTCTCTCCTCAAGCCCCCACATGACGAGTATACAGTGACAGTTGCTCCTGCCTGGTGCTACAGCGCATTTGGCTCCTGAATTGAATATATCCAGACTTTAAAACATTAGTCCAGAGAGCCCTGTAGGAACAAGGATTATCAAGGTAGTAGCTAAGCATCCCATCAGTAGTGAGCTGCCCCTGTCTTTCCGAAATGGTCCTTCTGCCAGAGCCTGACGTATTACCATATGTGCTGTGTGCTGGTTGAGGTTTCCAGCCCATGGAGCTCCTGGAGCTTGGAGGTTTTGTGGCAGCTTGTTCTGAGCATGTTTCTTTCGTAGTGTGGAACTGGGTGATCATACTCATTTTTTTTCCTCATTACAACTTGAGATTACACCTAAATTTAGACAGCATGCTTATTTTTTATGAACCTTTGAGCCCTGTGTTTTCAGTCATGTTTCCTTCAGTAAGCATAATTTGGCAGCTGGGTGAAGACTTGAATTGGGTTTTGTATTCCTCTCCTGGCTGAGGGCTGAGGCTTGGTTAGCTTCCATTCAAAATGGAAATGGTTGTCTGCTACCCTCTTCCTATGGTTACTACGCTAAAAAAGGCATGTGCTTCAGAAATGTTAGTGAGAAGTTCTTTTCTCCTGGCTTTCGGTCTTAGGACCGTATCTTTGAAATAAGAGAGTAGGAACATCAATGACAGCATGCAATTAAGATTTAACCAACAGGGGGCTGACGAGATGGCTCAGTGGTTAAGAGCACTGACTGCTTTTCCAGAGGTGCTGTGTTCAGTTCCCGGCACCCACATGGTGGTGTACCACCGTCTGTAATGGGATCTGATGCCCTCTTCCGGCATGCAGGTGTACATGCAGATAGAGCACTCATTTCCATAAAGCAAATAAATAAATCTTTAAGAAACAATCTCTCAGAAAACTCCGATTCACTTCCTGGCACCCATATGGTGGCTCACAACCGTTATAACTCTAGCCCCCTGGCATCCATCCCCCTCGTCGTGGGTGCCTGGCATGCATGTGGTACATAGACCAAATGTGTTCATGCCCAGAAAATAATTTCTTAAAAAAAAAAATCTACTTAAACTTGTTTAGAAATGAGAACGTGCTGTACGGGAGCAGACAGTGATTTTTGCTCTATACCGTCCAGGGCCACAGGCAGGGCGGGGAGTCTCATATTTCCTGGTGGGGTTACACAGCTTTGGTATCTGACACAGGAAGGCCGCCTCTTATCTCAGTGTCTGGCTGTGCTCTCAGACAGCCAGCGTTGGATTGTGTTTGCCCTTGTCCTAGAACCAGCTGCTCGGGGATTATGGGTACTGGTTACCTGCAGGGTCTCGCTGCCCCTTTGTTGGTGTGGCCTGGTCGCTGCTGTCTCCCCCGGGCACTCCCTCTGCTCGCTTGGCTCAGAGTCCTCAATGAGGGCTTTGGGAAAGCCTTTACCGATCCTATCTCACCTCAGGATTTCTTTCACATAAGCTTTTTATCTGTACCTTATCCTATTACATGTTTTAATACAAAACAACGAGTCCCTGTAATCCATGAAAATCCTCCTTGAAAGAGAATGAGCGAACCTGGTTTAGAGTGAAAAGGGGAGCTCTTGGCGTGACTCTGAGAGTCTGTGTTTTCTCCCAGGAAATCGTCAGCGCGCTGCCGTTCGTCAAGCTCTCCTTAGACGACTTCCCGGACAACAAGGACATTCAGAGCGACCTGCACGCTTACGTCCAGCACAGGGTGCAGAGCAGCCAGGACATCCTCGGCAACATCTCCCTGAATGGCAAGGCCGACGCGGCCCTCATCAGCAAAGTCAGCAGCCACCTGGTGCTGCGGAGCCTGGGTTCCTACCTGTACCTCAAGCTCACCCTGGACCTCTTCCAGCGGGGACACCTGGTCATCAAGAGCGCCAGCTACAAGGTGGTGCCCGTGTCGCTGTCCGAGCTCTACCTGCTGCAGTGCAACCTGAAGTTCATGACCCAGTCTGCCTTCGACCGCGCCCTCCCCATCTTAAACGTGGCCCTTGCATCCTTGCACCCCATGACGGACGAGCAGATATTTCAGGCCATCAATGCCGGCCACATCCAAGGCGAGCAGGGCTGGGAGGACTTCCAGCAGAGGATGGAGGCCCTCTCCTGCTTCCTCATTAAGAGGAGAGACAAAACTCGGATGTTCTGCCACCCGTCCTTCCGAGAGTGGCTGGTGTGGAGAGCTGACGGAGAAAGCACGGCCTTCCTGTGTGAGCCCAGGTACGGGAGACACGCCCTCGGGAGGAATTCGTGCACCGAGTTCTGTGCAGTTTTGCTGTTTGTTTCCCCCACTTTGGTCAGGAGAAGGTGAAAACAGAATCTACACCTTTCTGCAAAAGCTTCCCTCCTCTCCTTGCCACAACCGCAGGACACTTCTAGTGTGTCTGGGTGGATGGGAAGCTAGGTGGTGCCAGGAACGTGTTTCCTAGCTGCTAGTTCTCTTCATTGATCTGACCCCTCCCACCAGCACGGCAGGGTCATACGAGGCAAATGTATCTCTGCCTTAGGGAGAATGTTTACCTGTGGCCAGGGGTCTGTCTTGGATCCTTAACCCCTGCCAGTTCTTGACTAGCCTTGGCACCTTATTCCAGGGAGCACAGGTATGTGGGAGCAGAGGGGAGCCCTGTAATCCAACTAATCTAACCAGCTGTCTCCTCACAGACAAAGCCAGGAAAGGAGGCAGTTCTCACAGAACTCCATCCACGGGAGGTTGGGGACACGCCTGCTTGCGTGCCTGCCAGCCAGCCATCACCTAGTACAAAATAAGTGAGAGGTCAGAAATGGTAGGCCTCAGGTGTCTCTGGACACGGCCATTCTCAAGCCATCTTTGTGTCTAGCCCGCCTCGTTGCTTTCTTGAGTCAAGATTGCCTCCTACTCTAGTGACGCGGCCTCCTCCTCCTCAGAACTGTGGTGGGCACTGGGTTGGCGCTTTGGGCCAGTGAGTGCCAGGGAGCTGCTGTGTTTGATAGGTGTAGCCGCTTGGTGCTCTGGCTGCTTCCTTGGGTGACCCTGGACTCGGGGCTCATCATCCTTCAGACCTGGTTGCCTACTGAGAGCAGATCTCCCAGAAGCAACAAGTGTGTGCTGTGGCCCCACCCACCATTTATGGAGGTTTTCGGGGAAAGATCATTTTGGGGACAATCAGCTGCCCTGGAGCCTGTAGAAGAAACAGCATCGGGAGACTCACAGGACACGGACAGCTGCCGTTAGAGGAGGAAGTGGCTGGGCTGGGGGCATGGCTGACCCTGGCTGCAATCTGGTCAGTGGTGGCAGCGCAGCCCAGGGCTGGGCTGAGCGTGGCGGTAACCGCAGGTGGGCAGTAGCCGCCAGGACCTGAGGATAGCCTGTCCGTAAAGTTAACCGCTTCATAGGCTGCCCCTGCGCCGTCTTCTCTCTGATACGGCTTTGTAGTTAAATCAACCCTACTTGTCTGGTTTTGCTTTTGTTTCCAATGCTTTCGAGGCCTTCTTCAGGACAGTCCTTGTTCATTCTGTCGTCTTGAAGTATTTCCTTCTAGTCCGTAGCTCAGTCTTACCTTTAAGTCCTTAGGAGCCAGTTGTTTGTTTGTTTTTACAGTAGTGAAGGATGTGTTCAGTTTGATTCCTTTGCTTAATTGAAGAGAGTTCTTTTTTCAGTGAATGTTGACGCCACCTTTGTTGGTAATCAGTCGGCTGTAAGCACATGAATTTACCCCTGGCATCTCTGCTGTATCCCAGTGGTCTGTGGGGTCTCAGGCCATTACCATGCTTGTTCTGATAACCTTGAGCTTTGTATCTGTCATGCCTTCTGCTTTGTTGTTCTTTTTCATGTATTTCCTGTTTTTCACTTTGCAAGGGTACCTCAGAGGGTGTCGTGAACACTCCTGAGAGGAGATCTCCAGACCAGGTGGTAGCAGCACACAGCCTTTAATCCCAGCCCTCGGGAGGCAGAGGCAGGCAGTTCTCTGTGAGCTCGAGGCCAGCCTCATCGACAGAGAGAGGTTCCAGGACAGCCAGAGCTATATGAAGGAACCCTGCCTGGAGTCAGGAGGAGGGGACATACAATGTTAAATCTCTCTGATGCTAGAATCCCCCAACCATGTCCTGGATTTATCAGCTTTGTAGCCATTCACAAGGACTCATGATCTGAAGCAGTCTCTGCTGTTTCCTCCGTGCAGTTAACTTGGGGAAGGATACAGGCTCTTAGTTGGAAGAACCTCAGGCAGGGAGAGCTGAAAGATCAAAAGCAGCACGCGGCACGGTCTGGCAGCAATGCATCTAGTTTGCCTGGAGCTTTTGTTGTGCTGTGGAGGTCTGAGGAGAGCCAGCAGAAGACACGGTGGAGAAGTCAGTCCTCTTAGCTGTCATGTCCGGAGACCGTTGAAGGTTCTGGGGACTAAAGTGCCTGTGGGCAGAGTGGGAGGGTGCCGAGTGTAGCGGCTACTGTGCCGGCAGAAGGAGAGCAGAATAGAAAGGTCGGAGCTGTGGGTCAGGTCTTTCCAGGTCGGAGCTGGCTTTGGTTTTGAGGAATCTGGGCCTGTGGGGTACCTCTCTGCAGGTCCTGTCTGAGGGTTAGAGAAGTTGGTAGTTGAAGGTTGAACGTCAGTGATGGGAAAGTGTGGTGAGGCTCAGTGAGGGAGCTTGACACAGAGAGGGAAAAGCTCTCTGGATTTCAGGAAGTGGAGGAGAATTGCAGGGAAGGGGGTTAGAGATACCAAGAGGGGTTTGGGGCAATGAGGATTTGGATGTGGCTAGTCCCGAATCCTTAGGATAAACTTTCTTCTGGGTGTAATGAGGCACAGAGAGGAGAGGGGAAGCTGAGTGGTTTGTGTTCAGTAACACAGGAAACTGGGTCTTGTTGGGAACACCGTTGAGACTGTGGAATCTACAAGGAAGGAGAACTGGAAGTGCAAAGAAAAGGAAGTTAGATTGTTTCAGGGTGGGGCTGCTTCTTGCCTTCTCCCACGGCAAGCATCTCTTCTTTGCTGAATTTCAGTATGGTTACACGTTTCTCCTCCAGTTGCTGAGAGCTCCTGAAGGCAGGTACCCAGTGGGGCTCTCCCTCAAGCCCAAGCTCTCGAGTCTTTGGTCTTGGGCAAATCATCTAACCTGTTGAGGCCCTTTCCTCACATAAGCAGACACAACACTCGGTGACCCACAAAACCACGTGGGTGAAGCTCAGCTCAGTTTCTGGATCTGAAGTGGAGCACATGGAGCATGAACCGAGGGGGAAGGCCAGTTGTAGGAGGGTCGCATGGGGGCTGCACGGAAATAAGAGTAACAAGACTTTAGACAGGTGGGAAGCCACAGGGTTTGCTCGGAGCCCTGGGCTGGCCAGTGAAGTCTGTGCTAGTGGCCCACAGTGGAGCCATCTTCAACTGTGTAATATATGTGTTTTAGCATGTACTAATTACACAAATAGTTTCATTGTATGCTTTCATACATGTATTTAATATATTTTGATCATATGCAGCCCCTCTTACTATCCAATTTTACCCTCCCTTTGCCCCTCTAAGAGAACTTCTTCCTATTTTCCCCCCGAGACAGGGTTTCCCTATGTAGCCTTGACTGTCCTGGACTATCTTTGTGGACCAGTCTGTCCTCGACTTCACAGAGGTCCGTTGCCTGCCACTACATTCCCAAGTGCTGAAATTACAGGGGCGATAGTTCCTTCTCCCCGTTTCATGCTTTTTCCTAGACTCCACATATGACAGAAAACTTGATAGACTTGTTCTTCTGAGGCAGGCTTATTTCACGTAACACGATGAGCTCCAGTTCCAGGCACTTCCCTGTAAATAACATGATTTCATTCTCCCTGTGGCTGGACAGTACTTCACTATGTATGCTGTGCGCCGTGCTTCTTCGTTCATAAGTTAACTAGCACCTCATGGAGGCTGAAAGGTGAAAGGTGTGGCAGTAAACACGGATGGGCAGGTACCTCTGTCGTATGTTGACTTAGACGGAATGCTTGTGTGTTTGGCGGCATCCCCACACTGCTTTGTATGGTGGCTTGTACCACCTACATTCTCCCCAGAAGGACGCAAGGGTTCTTCTCTCAGCCAGCATTTATTGTTTTCTTATTGCTGTTTTGTTTGGGACAAGGTCTTGTGTATCCTGGGCCAGGAGGCCTTGACCTTGATTTCGGATCCTTCTTAACCATCTAAGTACCAGGATCACAGATGTGTGCCACTTCATTTCTTCTGCTGTGCTGCGGATGGAACCCAGGATTTCCATGCGTGCTAGGCCAGCACCGTACCAGGCAAACCTTATTGTCAGCCCGCTTTCCTTGGTGTTAGACGAACACAGCCTCACATGAGACAGACTCTCAGTGTATTTTTAAAATTTTCCCTAGTGACTAAAAATGAACATTTTCTTTTTCATATTACTGGCCATTTTTACTTCCATTGAGAAGTATCTGCTTAGTTCATCTGAACATTTGCTGATTGGATTTCTTGTGAATGTGTTTGAATTCCTGGTATGTTGTGGATGTTAAGGATCCAGTGGCTGGCACAGATCCCATGCTGTGGGCTGTCTGTTCACACTGGGATGGTTTCCTTTGCTGCACCGATGCTATCCTCACAATCCTGTTACCGCTGCTCTGCTCTTTGCTGCTTGCTGCTGACTCCCAAGGCATTAGAGTCTGTTTCAGAAAGTCATTGCCTATGTCTGTATCGTGGAGTGTTTTTCTTGGCAGTTTCAATTCTTCAGATCTTTCATAGGACTCTGATCACCTGGATAAACTTTTGTACAGGACCAGAGATATGTACATATTTCCTTTTTTTTTTTTTAACATATGGATGTTTTCACAACATCATTTGTTAAAGAATCCACCTTTTCTTGGCACCCTGTGGAAAATCAGGTGGCTGTAGTCACATGTGTTCATTTCTAGGGTCTTCTGGTTGTCTTTCTTTCTTTCTTTCTTTCTTTCTTTCTTTCTTTCTTT